CATCCATACATCCAAATCTGCAGGTTTAATAAATGTGTTATTTTCAATGTGACAAGCTATTTGTCTATTAAATTTATTTACAAGATCAGAGCACACACAACTTCCAGATGTACTCAATCTAAAACCAAGAGGACAGCTTTTCAGTTTGACACTTACTTCAACAATTTTGTTTTTTTGTGAAATGCTAAACAAAAGCATTGACTCCTGGTCCAGTGTTGCCACATCAGTTGTATGTATTGTTAAATTTACTGTTGTATAGTTCTTTTTTCCTTTGATGACAAATGATCCTTGATAGTCTGAAAACCACCAGTCTAATTTCTTTAAAAAGTTTCCCTTCTCAACAGGTATTACTGTTAAAATTTCATATGTCAAGCTACCATTTTGATCAGTCACATTTATTGGTACATGTATTGATCCCCCTGGGTAAATTTCATGCGTTTTATTCGGCGTACAAAGACCAATGTAATTAGCTTTAGAAGCTACATCACCTGGAAAAATATTCTTGAACATTGTATTGTACATTTTGACAACCATATCAGGTTTAGGTCTTTCAAAATTCCTATAGTAACAGCCATAGAGGTTTAGTGAGTATATAGAGTTCCCAGCTAGTGCAGCTGTATTGAAATGTGCATTTTCCCATTTTAAAATCTTCATTCATTACTGCATAAATGGCTCCTCCAAGAAATTGAACTGCATTATTAGTAAAATTAGCTCTTAGTCTTTTCTTTAGGTAAAGTACACTTTCCATAAGCAGAAATGCTGCACCACGATTAGCAATGTTTGCATTAAATAGTAGGTGTCCTTTAAGTACTGCCTGTGATCTCAATAATTCAAATACGGAACCATAATTGTGAGAAAAATTGCCAGGTTCAGTCACAGTTCCAGTAATGAAAACATTAAAAATATTTTCGAAATGAAATAAGCTAGCTGGATTAAATTTTTTATTCATCTCTTTCACATTCAGATTTGGATTGTTATAAGCAACTATTGAGTCAAAAAAAATAGCCAAATATTTGCTACTTTCGCTTGGAAAAGTTTGTGAAACAACAGTCAAGCATGCTCCAAAATTTGGAGAAGTGTTTAGTTCAAAATGAAGGTTGCGAAATGAAATAG